CACAACCTACAGCAAGAAGTAGCCCAGCTCTCTGCTCAGCAACAAGCTACTACTCCTGCTGCCCCTCCCACTACTGTCATCAAGCACAAGAGGCCTCCTGTCAAGGCTCCTGACCTCTTCAATGGCAAAAGATCTGAACTTCTGGCCTTTATTACCCAACTGAGGATCTACATCACTCTAAGGCCTGAGGAGTTTACCACTGAACCCCAGAAGCTTCTTTTTGCTTCTTCCTATCTCAGAGGCAAGGCCTTTGATTGGATTCAACCTCAACTCTCCAGGTACCAAGAACTCCTTGCTGAAGGTCAACCTGTTCTTACTGGACCCTTTACCTCCTACTCAGCCTTCATCTCTGAACTCAAGTCTACTTTTGGAGAGATTGATGAAGTAGCCAATGCTGAAAGAGCTATCAACAAGATCAGGCAAACCACTTCAGCCACTGCCTACAGTACAGAGTTCATCAAGATCAGCTCTCACCTCTCTTGGAACAATGAAGCTCTCTCTGCTCTCTACTATAGAGGTCTCAAGGACTCTATCAAGGATCAACTGGTACTTCAAGGCAGACCATCTGAACTCACTGATCTTATCAAGTTGTCTGTTCAGATTGACAACAGATTGTTTGAAAGACAGAGAGAGAAGAAGCCTTTCCCTACCATCACCAACAGGACTCCTGTCTCTTCCTCCTATGGTGAGCCAATGGAAATTGATACCATCACTGTCAGGAAGCCAACCAACCCCCCCCCTAGTCAATCCAATGGCAGAAGGACTAGGCTTACTGAGCAAGAGAAGCAATACAGAAAGGATCACAACCTTTGCCTCTACTGTGGTGACCATGGCCACTCTCTCAACACTTGTGCCAAGCTGAATCAGCAACAAGCTAGGCAAGGCAACCTCTCTGCTACAACCACTTCTCCCCAGGACACTCAGTCAAAAAACTCCCAGGCTTAGGTATCTCAGAGCCTCTCCTAAGCCAACCTGAGGCCACCACTGATCCAGGACCACCTATCACTCTATCTTCTACCAGCACTGCTCCTCAGTGCCCTCACTTGGTCCTCCCAATCACTCTCTCTTGGGACAGCAAGGTCATTACCACCTATGCTATGGTTGACTCTGGAGCCACTGGGAATTTCATTTCTCCAGCCTTTGTTCAGCTTCACTCCATCCCAACTGAGTCCATCAGCCCTATTAGGGTCACTACAGTGGATGGTAGCCTCATCTCTTCTGGTCCTGTTACAACAAAGACCAGTTCCCTCTCTACAGCTGTTTCTTCAAATGGCTCTACCTCTGCAGGATCCTTGGAATTTCTTTTGGCACCCATCTCACAGTCTATCATCTTGGGTCTTCCATGGCTGAGAAAATCCAAACCAATCATCCATTGGGATACAGATACAGTCAAATTTCCAACTGCAGCACTCCAGATCAGTTCTACCAGCAAGGCAGAGGACATCATCCTTCCTGCTGAGTATCAGAAGTTCTCTCAGCTTTTCAGCAAATCCCTGGCAGACCAACTTCCTAGTCATCAACCTTATGACCACTCCATCCCCCTGGTTGAAGGAAGCATGCCACCTTTTGGACCTATCTATAGCCTATCAGAATTAGAGCTAAAGGTCTTGAGGGAGTACCTAGATGAGAACCTAGCCAAAGGTTTCATCAGACCCTCATCTTCTCCTGCTGGTGCACCTATCCTCTTTGTCAAAAAGAAGGATGGCACCCTTAGACTCTGTGTTGACTACAGAGGTCTCAACAATATCACCATCAAGAACAGATATGCCCTTCCTCTTATCCCAGAACTCATGGACAGGACTTCTTCTGCCAGGATCTTCACTAGACTGGACCTCAGGGGAGCTTACAACCTCCTCAGGATCAAGTCTGGAGATGAATGGAAGACTGCTTTCAGAACCAGATATGGCCACTTTGAATACCAAGTCATGCCTTTTGGACTGGCCAATGCACCTGCTTCTTTCCAAGAGCTTATCAACAATGTTCTCAGACCTTACTTGGACCTCTTTGTCATTGCCTACTTAGATAACATCCTCATCTTCTCTTCCAATCAACAAGAGCACACCCAGCATGTTAGCCAGGTCTTGGAAGCTCTCTCAAAGGCAAATCTCTTTGTCAAACTAGAGAAATGTCTTTTCCATGTTAGCACTGTGGACTTTTTAGGCTTTGTCATCTCTCCTCAGGGCATCTCCATGTCTCCAGACAGAGTCAGCTCAGTCCTCACCTGGCCAGCTCCTAAGTCAGTCAAGGAGCTACAATCTTTTCTAGGCTTCTGCAACTGGTATAG